GTTATTAGCACCTCTAGTAATATATTTACTGAGAAAAATGGTGACGTGTTCAATACTTATTTTACCCGCTGTACATATATGTATGTATGTATATGTATATATGTATGTATATATTGTGTGTATATACTGTGTATATATGCATATATATTTACTATACATACTGTATATATTTGGCTTCATATTTTCCTGGCTAAATATAAGTTGATGTTTCGTTCAAGAACTCTTCCAGGAAAAATGTTGGAGGAAGTCAGCCAGAACTTGGCCAAGTTCAACATCCATGCGTTGGTGATCATTGGTGGATTTGAGGTAAAAAAAAAAAAGTGATGAAGAAATTTATTGGGGTTATTTACTTTTAAAGGCACTACACAATTAATAGTATTTTCTTAGGTGAAACATGATGCAGTTTTATAAACCGTTGTGTGAATATGTTTGTGATTAAACTGGTGATTTTATATACAGACTGGTCTGAGTGGCTGTCAAAACGGCTGCTCAGAGCGGAAAAGTACATGCTAGACATAGCTACATGGCCTGAACATATATTACACACATAATGACTGAATGTAAAGAAACACTAGCCAAAACAGGAATTATGTCAAAGAGAATTTGATCCTAGAGGACAGGGTTTCCCCCTCTTCAGTGATGATGTCACATGTAGCAGGTGGGGTCAAATTCTGAAGAAAGTGTTATATGTAACACAACTTCCTTGTTTTGGCTGCTGATGCATGGAGAGAGCAGAGACCCTCATTAAAACGTGCAGTCCAGCCCAGCGCTGTTTGTGGTTGTCTAACTCTTTCACATTCAAACATTCAACTGGTTACGAACACGTATTAAAGGTAAACGAACACACCTAAATTATCTGCTGATCTTTCAGTGAAATGCTTTGTAAAAGTTGCTTCATCTGGCWCTCTGGCTCTGGCGTGTAAGGCAAGTTAAAGCAACACAGTAACCTTCCTCTCCTGTTCTGCTGCAGGCCTACGTTGGAGGTCTGGAGCTGGTTCAGGCCAGAGAGAAGTACGAGGAGATGTGCATTCCCATGGTGGTCATCCCCGCCACCGTCTCCAACAACGTTCCCGGCTCCGACTTCAGCATCGGCACTGACACCGCTCTCAACACCATTACCTCCGTCAGTGATCAAACAAAAACAAGACAGTGACAAAAAAAAAAAAAAAAACACAGTTGAACACATTTATTTGTTTTTTCTGCAGACCTGCGACAGAATCAAGCAGTCTGCAGCTGGGACGAAGCGCCGCGTCTTTATTGTCGAGACGATGGGAGGATACTGCGGCTACTTGGCCACCATGGCAGGTCTGGCTGCTGGCGCCGATGCTGCCTACATCTTTGAGGAGAAGTTCACCATCAGAGATCTGGAGGCGAGCGCAGAACCCTCAACATTCCTGAAACTTTTRTTGGAGGGCATTGTGTGCAATAATCGTGTGTTTTCTGAAATGTGGGCTGCAGGTGAACGTTCAGCATCTCCTGGAAAAGATGAAGACRACGGTGAAGAGGGGTTTGGTTCTCAGGTGGGTTCAGGTGAAACAGAAACAATGTTGTTTTTGAAGTTCAAAAACCACTTCTCCAGACAAACACTTCTCCAAAGTGCTGACAAGCAAGCTGAGATCCTTAATTTTGAATTCAAATATGCTAGTGAATTTATTTTACCCTTTTGAATGCAGAAAAAAATATATAAAAATTAACTTTATACGGGAACTCAAAATTTACATGTTCTCTGTGAGTTCTTTTTTCTTTTCAAAAAACAGCAGAATGGTACATGTCTGAATAATGTTCCTGCTTTTTCTCCAAAAGGAATGAAAACTGCAGCGCTAACTACAGCACTGACTTCATCTTCAACCTGTACTCTGAGGAAGGCAGAGGAGTCTTCGACTGCCGCAAGAATGTCCTCGGACACATGCAGCAAGTGAGAGAGTCATCCAGGAATACAAAGAACGCACTTATTTCTCTCCCTTTTTAATATTGCATTGTATTTGCTGTCATTTGACTTCAGGGTGGCACTCCGACACCCTTTGACAGAAACTTTGGCACAAAGATGGGCACCAAGTCTATCCTGTGGCTGACTGAGAAGCTCAAGCAATGTTACAGGCACGGTATGTGCACCTGAAAAAGACWGCATCAAACTAGCCATTAGCTCATCAGTCCAGTCTTTTTATTCCAAAGCAAGGCTGTGCAATGAGCCATCTACAACACTAACCGAATTTATTCAAGTATAATACGTAAAATTAAATCCATAAAATCATCCATAAAGTTGGGGGCTAGTACTATACTCGGATAAATATTTTTACTTATGTATTTTAAATATCGGCTTCATTCACAAAATGCCTGAGTCCGGAAATGAGACCACATCGTAAAAAGCAGTCGAAGCAAGCTTACCTCTGACACTCCTTCGTGCCTCAGAGCGAGATATTAACAGATCCAGGCAGGCGACATGATGTGAAAAAAAAGAAAAAAAAGGCAGTCCTGCACCTTAGTAATGATAACGAACTAATGACATTAACGTGTGACTGGGCCGCTGCTTGAACAACCAGAGCTGGCTCTTGGCATAGGCGAACTAGGCGGTTGCCTAGACCGCCATCTGCTGGAGGGGGCGCCGAACTGCAGAAGAAAAAAAGTAATTATTTGTAACCCCTGGCTGTAACTCTGCTCAGTGCCCCTTTCAATTAGCTTTGTCTTAAAAAACTATAATGAAGTATTACAGGAAAGATAAACTACTCCTAATCCTGCTGACATCCATTCTGACACAGTGAGGACTGAGTTTTGTCAGCCGAGGACCTTATGAGGTAAAATTAGACTTATATTTTCCAAAAAGAGAGGACCTTCTAAATCTTTGCACAAATTATGAACAAATTGTGGTCTTTTGATAACCCTTGTCATTTGACTATTTACTTTTTTTATTGATTTAATTTGTTGTGTGATGTATGTTTGTGTTTAAAGCAAATAAATCTAAGTTTACCATAGTAAACTAGT